AATATATAAATGAATCAATCAATCAATAAATAAAAGAAACCTGGGCAGCAGCCACCTTCTGAGCCCGTCTCCCTGAGGTCGGCCTCCCACCTCCACCTTAGACTTAGCTAAGCTGGAGGCCCTGATTTCCAGTGAGTGTGGACAACCCAAGCCCAGGCCCAGGTCATCTGCGTTCCACCCACTCCTCAGCAGTGCCATCAGCAGGAGGTGGGGAACTCTGGCATCTGCACCTCCAGCCCTGGCCACTGCCTGAGCCCCAAGCTGTCCAATCCCCTGCAGCTGGGACTCCTCCCTGGAGGGCTTCACCTCAACACTGAGCCCCTCCCAGAAAGAAGGACTTGCTGGGCACGTAATCCCAGCACTCAGGAGGCTGAGGCAGGAGGATGGCCTCCACAGTGAGTTCAAGGCCAGGCTGAACTACATAGCAGGATCCTGTCTCAAAAAAAAAATCAAAACAAAAAATCATTTTTAATTTTTTAAAAGGGCCAGAGGGTGGGGGCTGGAGATTGAGCTCAGTGGTTCCACCTCCTGCCTTGAAAGCCCAAGGTCCCGAGTTTGATCCCTGGTACCAAAAAAAAAAAGGGCCAGAGGTATGGCTCAGCGGTAGAGCACACACCCAGCTTACTCAAAGCCCTGGGTTCCATCTCCAGCACAGAAAAAAGAATTGAAAAAGACTGAAGGCTGCTCTTCCTCCTTGCCAGCTCAGCCTTCCCTCTTGCTGGGGCCCAGAGCCTTGGAGACTCTGAGCTTCCTCTCTTTCCCTCACCTGCAGTCTGTCTACCCACCCATCCTTCAAATATCTCAGCTTAGTCCCTGCCCACCACCCTCCAAGGCCAGGGCCAGCCCCACTGCCGCCTCCAGCCTGTCCTTTTGCCCCCACCCAAGTCCATTTTCAGCACCACCCTCAAGGGAGCCTGTCAGAAAAGCTGAGCTGCTCTTGCCCTGCTCTCTGGAACCCCTGGGGGTGGTGCAGAGTGATGGCAGAGTTTCCTAAGCCAAGGGCTGCATTTGATTTGTTTAAGGAGGAGACCTTAACAATGGTTAAAACTTCACAGGCTGGAAAACAAAGGGACCAGCAGCCCGCTGTGCGGGGGGGGGGGGGGGGGGGGGTGCGCTAGGGACCATCTGCCGCCCAGGAGGAGAGATGCCCCCATGTCCCTGCTGCTGCCCCCACCCCTGCGGACCACAAGGGGGCTGGAGGAAGAGAAAGGCTTCTCTCCAGCACAAAACACACAAAACACACCTCCCCGAGCCCACTCCTCCCCCTCAGACCCACCAGGACAAAGGCGGCACACGAGTCCCAGCCTGCTGACATAAAGGCCCACCTGCCACCCCACCTCCTTAACCAACCAGGGCCCCCCACTGCAGGTAACAGCTCAGGCCTGTCCCGGAAGCTCCTGATCTGTGCAGACAGGGAAACTGAGGGCTGGAAGCAGGAGGGCCTGGGCCAAGGTCACAGAGAAAAATGAGCCAAAGGGTGAGAGATGGGTGTCAGGAATGGGTTCTCTGACCCCAGCTTCCTCCTCCTCTGTCCTTCCTTCTTTCAGCTGAAGGGACAGGGTTTCTAGATTCTGCCCTCGCTCTGAGGTCCAGTGTAGTGAATTCATGTCCTGCCTCTGGAACACAGGAGTTGCTGCTCCCTTCTTGTGCCAGCTTGGTGCTGCCAGGCACAGCCCCCAAGTGAAGGCCCAAGGAGTAGCTTCTGCAGCCACATGGCCCAGGCAGCTCTGGGCTCTTGGGGCTCTGCAGAGAAGAAAGAGACCCAGCTTCGTCCCACTGGGCAGAGGCCTTCTGGGTGACACAGGCATGTGCTTCCTCCCCCCCAGCCTCAGTTCCCTCATCCGGGGCCGGGGCACCATGGTGGTGAGCAAGACACGACAGGAAAGAGCCTTGGACCACGTGAGGCCATGCTCCCGGGTACACAGACACAGTGCCATAAACAGGAAGGCCTGTGGGGAGGGCCAGCACTGGCGGCTTCCGCCCACCCGTCTGCCCTCAGAGCCAGGATCTCCCCAAGATGAGAAGTGGTGTGAGGTGCAGGGAAAGCAGGGTGCTGAGCAAAGGTTCATCTCAGGAGCACCTGGCATCTGCACTCATGGATGGGGGTGTGCCCTGCCTGGGGACCTCAGCTTCATCCAAACCTCCCTGCCCTCTCTCCTTGGGCTCCCCTCCAATGGCTCAGTCACTTCCTCCCCAGAGCCAGCAGCCACTCTGAGGAGACGGGGTGTGTGTGTGTGTGTGTGTGTGTCTGTGTGTGTGTGTGTGTGTCTGTGTGTGTGTCTGTGTGTGTGTGTGTGTCTGTGTGTGTGTGTGTGTGTGTGTGTGTCTGTGTGTACCCTCCACCTCCCCAGAGATGCTCTCCAGTAACCCCAGAACCCTAGCTTTGCTTGAGGAGGGTACCAAGTGCAGGGAGGGGAGGGCTGAAGGAGATTCAGCTTGGCAGCACCATCCCCTCAAGGCAGGAGCCACCTGCCCATGGCATCCACACATCTCTCACCATTGCATGGCTCCCACACTCAGGCTCCATGGGTGTGAGCATGTGGATGCTCACACACACACACACACACACACACACACACACACGCCCACTCGACAGGCGGGCCCCCACCCAGGCCTCAGCTTCCTCCTCCAGACACACACCCCCTTCAGGGCAGCAGCCACAGGAAACCAGCACAGGAGGCAAAATGCCAGCCAGGCACACCTCAGGCACAGCAATGTGGGGCAGGGCCTCCGCCACGCAGAGCCAGGGGGAGACAGCTCCCGGGCCAGTTTAGGACAGCACAGATCAGGATCGGGACCTGTCAGAGGCCTCTACCCCAGCTACCCAAACCCACCACTGCCCCCAAGGCCGGAGAGGCCAAGCTGGCCAGGAGCAAAGCCCTTGCTGGTGCGGCCAGGGACTGGAAGGACCCCCAGGAGCCTGGGTGAGGGACCCAGGCTGTCCCCAGCAGAGGAGGCGATGGATTTGAGGAGCACCCAGAGGCCAGAGTGTCAGGTGTGGGGAGGGGAGGAGGGAGGAGAGAGATGAACCAGACCCAGAGGGCAGTGGGCAGCTTCTCCTTTGAGGCTCTGGGGACCCCAGCCCAGCAGAAAGAGTTCTGTGAGCCCCTCAGCCAAGGACCCCTCTCAAGGCCCAAAGCCACCCGCTTGTCACCTGTTGCTTGGTTCTGGAGACCCACGTGTCCAGTAGCAGGTCCAGACGGGAGCGGTGGAAAGCCCGGGTGGTCTTGACCGCGATGAAGACGTCCTGAAGCAGCAGCCCACGGGGCTCGGGACTAGAAGCACTCGGCCCGAGGGCCTCCTGCGCCCCCCGGGGGGAAAGGCTAGAGTGGAAGTGGAGGGGCAGAAGCCCCAGGCACAGAAGGGCGAGCAGCGCTGCAGCTGGGCCCCGGGGGAGCCGGCAGGGCATTGGCACTGGCACCCCGGAGAGCTCAGCCCCTGCGTCCCGGCCGGTCGGGCACAGGCGCGGGGCTGGCGGGCAACCGGGGCGGCGCGAGGCGGAGGGGACGCGGAGCTGAGCCCGCAGCCGCCAGCGCCGCCTCCACCTGCTCGGCGGCCGGCGCTGCTCTTGGGCCGCGTGGCCCCGCCCCCGCCTCAGCCCGAGGGCGGGGCGAGCGAGGGGCCCCGAGTGGCTGGAAAGGAGACGCCGCGAAGGAAGGGCAACGCGGCCCGCTGCTGCGCCCACAGACCCTGCGAGCCCAGCCTTCCCTCCCCAGGGCCCCCGGTCTGGCCTGTGGACGCTCCAGCCTCCCCGCCTTCGCCCCGTGTCTCCACCTGCGTGTTCTCTCCATCTGCCGCCGAGTTGCATTTGGACTTGAAGCCCTCCGCCATGGTCCCTCCAACTCCTGAGGCTCCCACAGAAGTTCGCTCAGCTCCTCCGTCTTCACACAGCCCTGGGATGGTCGTGCCCAGGTTACAGTTGAGGACGTCAGGCCGACAGGCTCAGCGTGATACGTGATGATCCCGCAGCTCAGGCACAGAAGCAGTGGAAGCCTGATCTCGGCTCCTTCTCTGCCCCATTGGAGGCCCCCTCCGCGCCCCATCTCACTTGCCAGTCACTATAGCTACTGCTGTCCCACCCAGGACAGAGGACAGACCGAGGCCTTTCTCCAGCCCCACCTCCATCTGGTTCTGCAGAAAGTCACGTACCTCCCCTTCCCTCCCCTCTTCTAACCCTGCCTTGGCTCCCATTTTTTTTTTTTTTTTGGTACTGGGGATCGAACTTAGGACCTTGAGCTTTCGAGGCAGGTGCAGTGCCACTGAGCTAAATCCCTGGCCCCCTGGCTCCCATCTTATGAACCTCCTTTTGCTCCCTCAACCTTGGACCCACTCAGCTCCTGACTAGTCAGGCACATGCCTACCTCAGGGCCTTTGCACTTGCTACTCCTGAGCACTTTTTCCCTAGAGATCTGCATGTCCTGCTTGCTTATTTCTTCAGGTCTTTACACAAATGTCACCTCCCCCTGGAGGCCTTCCCTGATCATTTTGTTTAAATTGCAGACCCTCTGCCCTCCTGCCCAGCCCCCCTGAGTCCTGCTATGCCCCCTCCCCTACTGTGTTTTCCCCATAACATTTTTCATCTCCCAATGTCCTATGTATTTTACTTATTATCTGTCTCCCTCGTGAAAATACCAGGGCACAGATTTCTTCTCTTTTAATCATAGAATCCCATTTTTTCTAGGCTCAGTGCCTGGTACATACTAGGAGCTCAGTAAATACTCACTAATTAAATCCAAGACAGTACCAGATGGCTGGTGAATGGAATTGGCCTGCGGTAGGCCAGCCCTGCATTAGGACAAGGGGGCAGGAATGGGAAACCAGCCCTTCTGGGCCACCTTCCTATGGGCCAGCCCCCAGCCAGGCCCCTTCACATCCGGTCTTCTCAGAACAATGTCAGTGAGGGACAATCCCAATCCAGCCACTCCCAGACATCATTCATAAATTAGGAACCGAAGCATGGCTTGGTGACAACCCTGGGCTTCTGCACCTCATGGAAAGAACGCCTAGGACAGGTGTGGGCAAAGGTGGCTGAGTAGCTGGCTGCAGCCTTTCCTGGACCCAGGTTTGCCCAGACCAAGCATTGGGCCAGGCATGGTGAGGGAGGCCCGAGGGCTGCTTACCCAAATGCGCAAACCCCATCCCCACCCCACCCCAGGAGCCCCAGCCATCTGCAGAGACGGCCACAGGCAGAAGAGGGATCAGGCCAGGAAAAGTCCCCAGGCTGGGACCATCCAGCGGACTCCCTGAAGAAGGCATCTCAGCCAGGCCTCAAAGGTCAGGACAGACTAGAAGCGGCTGGGGCAGGGACCAGCATGACCAAAGGCTCGGTTCGGCCCTAGCACAGCTAAGGCGATGCAGAGCTGGCTACCTGGGGCTAGGGGCAGGGAATCTCCACCAGAGCAGGCCTGGAGTGGCAAGGGACATTGAGCCTCCAGGGCAGCGCCTTATCACCTGTAGAGGTGGCTGGGGGCCTGCAGGTCCCAGGCAAGGCCCCTCCCTGTCCCCTGCCCCCAGTCTCTGAGTCTTCCTAAGCAATGGCTCCCCCCAACCACACTGGCCAGTCTATAGCATCCATACCCAGCACCCCACTCCCAGCCTCACCACCCAGCACAGGGCATCAGGAGCCTCACCTCACGCCCTGGGCAGAGAGGTGTGGCAGTTGCTGGGGGCCACCTGGCTGGCAGTACAGGATCCCATTTGGACTCCAGCGTCTTGAGCCCCCACACTGCTCCAGACCTTCACCCATCTAAGGGAGACACCAAGGAACCCTCCTCCTTCCACCCCCCTCCTCCCATGTGGCTCATCTGGGCCTTTGACCACCCTACACTTCCTCCTTCCCCTAAAGATGGAGCTGCAGCCCCCCAGGTCCAGGCCCCTCAGCCCTCTTCCCCTCTCCACGCACCACCCCAAATCCCCATCCCTGATCCCTCCTAAGCCTGGGATCTTCTCCACCAGCTGCCAAACACAGAGAAACCCAGCTTGTCCCTGGAACCTCAACTCGCCCCTTGCTCCTGGATGCTCCTCTCTTCTCCACTGCCCAGTGCCCACAGGTCCTACTCAGGCTGGACACCGCCTGCCTCACCTCATTGAGTCAACCCCAAGAGGGCTCCTGCAAGCCCAAAGCCCTGTGCTATCACCTGGAAGCTCCCTCAATGCACGTGACACAGCCCAAACCATGCTGCCAGTCCCCAGGCCGATTTGGGCTTCTAGGCTCACTTCCTCCTACTCCCTGGGTGGCCAGACTCATCATTTCCTCCCTTCAAGTAGTACAGCCACCTCCTCAGATCCCTCAGGGCCTAGCCAAGTTCATCACTGGGACCAAAGATGGCCACCTGCACTTAGTCCCATACACTGAGTGGCACTTCTTGAAGGGTAAGTTTAAGGGGCACCTCCTCCAGTCAGTCTGCCTGGATTGCTCCTCCTGAGGCAACAGTGCTTTCTGGTGGAACTATCTCAGGGACCCAGCGGCTCCCAAGGGCCCCTACACGCAGCAGCTGGGCACTGCTGGCCCATGTCCCTGTTCCAGAGGAAGCACTCTGAAGGGCAGGACAGGGCTGAGCGCTAGGTGGCCCATCTATAGGGCCCCCACCTGCCCTTCGGGGGCAGGTAAGGTGATGCCAGCACAGATGGCGGGCGGCTCTGGGATGAGTCAGGCAGGAAATCCGATCCTCCCCACGGGGAATCAGAGACTGAAAGGTGGAATCCACCCGAGCTGGAGGCGGGGAGAAAGGGGAGACTAGAGAGGGGCACCCAGGCCAGGGAGGCAGGCAGAGAGGCCACCAGCATGTATGACAAGATGTTTAATGCTCCAGACCGTGCAGCTTCTGAGTGAAAGACCCGTTATTTAATCACGGGGCATACATTCGGGGTGGAGCAGCCGCCCCGCCAGGCCCTCAGGATGCAGGGCAGGACGGCTGTTGAGAACATGGTCCTGGGTGTGTTCACCAGGAACACACACCTGTCAGTGCCCCAGTGTCAGGGGGTGGGCATGACATTTATACAGGAGAGACCCACAGACACACACACGAGGAGGCGTGAGGGATACAGGTGACAGTAGACTGAGGCAGCCACAATGGCCACACGTGGCAGTGTACACGAGATGTGTGAGCTGGGTGGGTGGGGGTCACAAGGTGCCAGGCTCAGGGCTCTTTCAAGTTGAGGACCAAGGGAGACCCCATGCACCCAGAGGACGGGACAACCACAGGCTGCCCTGTGAGAATTTGAGTGTGCAAACCTGTGCAAAGGCATGAGAACTCAGACTCCAAGGTAAGTGTTCAAGGAGAGGACACAGACATACACAGTGAGACCCAGGAGTGGGAATGTGGGGACACAGGGTGACTGACAGGAAGGCCCACAGGAGCAAGGACAGGGCAAGTGCAAGCTCTGGCCAATGGGCTCCTGCAGCCTCTCAACAGGGTACAAGTGACAAACAGTGGTGAGAGCCCAGAGCCAAAGGTCCCTTGTTGGAGAGTCCAAAGTTCAAGGATTGCTCCAGATGAGAGGCCCGACTGGCCACAGACACAGGGTCCTGCTGGCTGGCAGCTTCTGCAGCGAGGAGGAAGCCAGCCTCGGATGCAGGACGCCAGGTATCCAATGCAGGAAGCCAGGCCTTGGATGCAGGAAGCCAGGCCTCACATGGGTCCTCAGGCCTCGCTGCTGCTGCCACTGCCTCCGCTGCTGCCCCGCTCTACCCACACAAGGCGAGCCTGCTCCTGCAGAATGCGGCCACGCACCACCTTGGCCAGCTCCTCCGCGTGGCCCCACGCATGCGCAGGCACCTGCACCCAGGAGCAGGGCAGCCCCCAGAGTGCCTGCTCCGCACTGCGGCACTGCCGCAGCAGCTCTGAGTCCCGCCCACCTGGCCGGCCCAGGAGGCTCCTGCAGAGAGAGGGTGAGCAGCATCAGAGCAGGGGTCTGAAAAGGACAGAGAGACAGAGGGACGGGGATGGAGGACAAGAAGACTGTAAGAGAGTAGACAGACATACTGTGGGAGACAGTGAGTGACAGAGACAGCAAACAGAGCTGGAGAGGCACAGAGACAGCCTCACAGCGCAGCTGCCCACGAGCCCCATCCGCCTCACCTGACCTCGCGGACATTCTTCTCGGTCACCTCCACGTGGATGACGATGGGGTACACATCACTCTGCACCAGCTCCCGAACACCCCGTGCTCCCAGCTCCAACAGGCAGTGTTTCTTCTCGGAAACCCAAGACCATGTTTACTCCCAGCCCCATCCCACACTGTCTCCCATCACATCTACCTGCGTGCAAGTTCTGCATCCCCACCCAGAGACCCTGGCAGCGAGCAAAGAACTGGGATGGGGAGACCAGAGACCCGGGCTCATGGGTGACGTGGAGAAAGGTCACGTCCCTGCTCTGGACCCGGGACTCCCCATCTGAGGGACCACCTACTCACTAGGGCCAGCTCACGAGAGAGAAGCCAGTTTAAGGGTAAGGAAGCACCAGAAAGAGGCACCAGCCCAACACCTCCAAGGTGACCCAGGTGAGGGCAATGGCCCCAACCTGCTCACATCACAGGTGAGGAAACTGAGGACCCCAA